TATATTTATATTTTTAATTACTTACACAGATAAAAGGGTCAAAAGGGAGTAAACCATAACAAGTCCAGACAAAACCACAGGCAAAGGAAGCCAAAGATAGGGAAAAGGGCATGTATTCCACACTTTTTGTGCTTATCACCCGTTTCTGATCATCATCATCATCATCATCATTATCATCATCATTATCATCATCGTTAACAAAGAAACTAAAAATATGTATGTATTCATTAAAAGCTAGCGATTAATATTAATATATATTATGAATCATATATGTGACGTACTGACCATGACTGAAAAGGGCGAGGCATACATCATGATGCTTGAGACATTGCCGATTATTCCAACAGCCAGAGAACGGCGCCGCGCGGAGTGTAAAAGAGTGAGGACAACAAGGGTGAGGACGGCGACCAAGATGAGCTCGAGGAGCACCACCAGCCCCACCTTCAACCTCTTCTTCCTGTCGGAGTAGATGAGAAAGAGGATAACGAAGAAGAGTGCAATGATGACGCCGGTGGCGCTGATGGTTAAGACGAGGGTGCTGTTTGGGTGCACCCAGGGCATCGCGAACAGTGTCCAGACCATCTGGTTCATTAGCATCACCAAGTATGGGGTTGGCGAGAAGTGTTCCACTGCCCTTTTCTTGCAAATTCGAATAAAAATTTGCCTGCACCAAATTATATTAATTAATTAATCAATTAATTATCTAGCTAGCCAGCTTAATTAATTTCTCATTAAGTAACAGCGTCAACAAATGTTAATATGGAAAATCTGTCATCATGAGCTAGAGTTTAATTAAGCATATTGAAGAGGGAGCATTAATTAATACGGTAATTAACATTTAATCTAATATATTACGTACGCTGGTGACAAGTAGAGGGAGAGTGAAGCAATATTTCCTGGAAATCAAATAAATGCCACACATGATCAGAATTAAACAACTAATTAATTAATTAATGAGAAGACATATTTTCTGAGAATTGATGAAGGAAATTCAATGATTAATGAAAAGAAGACCCACCAACAACACCAGCCACATTTCGAGCAATCTCAATTTTAGCTGGAACCATGGATTGATCGATATGAATATGATATCTAGTATGCTATAAATGTATGGAAAATATAATGAAGAAATTTTATAAAAAGGAAGAATGAGGAGCTCCGATTCAATTGAAAACCCCTGTGTATATATATATATATATATATATATTAGGTTTGAATTGTGGGTCACGGCGATACAGTTTACCAGTTAAATGTATGTATATATTTACATACACAGCACAGAGCACAAAGCCATGCTACTATTTGTTTATGCTGCAGCCTTAAATATTAATTAAATTTAAAAGATTTTATAATCAGCTGCCATATTATTGATATATACAAAACATGGAAAGTTGTGGAATCTGACTCACGACCGATATGACTATATATATAGGATGATGATTCGTGTAAATAACAGTCTGTCATCCTCCATTTCATACCAACTAAAAAACAAATATTTTATGGTTTGGATTTAGCCAGGGACAAACTTAATCCTGCTGCCATTCATAGTTGATTCATGTCAATGGCAAACATTTTCAAATTTTGTATCGATGAGCTTTCTTCATCTTCTTCCACTCTGGTGACTGTTGGGTTTCTCAGCAAGATTTCAATTTCACATCTATGAAATATTTCACATGTGTAAAGAATTTCTGTCACATTTCACCCAGCCAAAAAAAGTGCCAGATGATGATTTGATACCGCCAACAATCAAACAATCATCTTCTTTGGAGCAGTGGAATCTTACCCTTCAACCCACTATTCACAAATCAGAAGAACTCATATTTTTCATATAAAGAGAAGAAAGATGGAATTCAACAAGAAGCAAGGGATCTTGCAAACTTAGATCGTCACTAAAACTTTTGTCATCGATGAGCATTTGGGGGAGGATAGGAAAGCAGAAAAAGTACAAAAGAAAATCTTTAGATTCTTCCTCGAAGCCGATGACCACAATCACCACATCTGCTTATCCCTGTCTTTGATGGAAGCATCTATGCCCAAAGAATCAAACATTTGCAACATGTGAAGGGAGAGAACTAGAAGCTTTGATGCTTTTCTTCTCTCTCTTCTACGAGAAGACACATGTTTCCAGCTTGTTTGGTAATGAGAATAGACATTGTTTATTTGAATAGTTGAGCACTGAAGTGTTTCGGTATTATCCCAAACCACCAAATAATACATATTATATAGGGTGTAACCTGCCGAGTGTTGAACCAATGGGTGTCCCTATCATGGTCCATTCAAGAAAGGACCAACTCACATTATCATATGTCTTTTTGAAATCAATTTTGAAAATAAATCATTGGAATTTGCTCTTTCTCACCCTATCTATCGCCTCATTCGCTACAACCATTCCATTAACCAATTGCCTTCCCTCAATAAATGTAAATTGATTTTCCCTTATAATTTTGTTCAATACTCTACTAAGTTTATTTGCCAATAATATAGCAAGAATTTTATAAATGCAACCAATTAAGGAGATAGGCCTATACTCCTCAATACCTCGAGGATTCTCTGTCTTCGATATCAAAACAAGAAAGGAAGCATTAGAATCCCTTACCAATCTTCCATTTTTTGAAAATCCATAAGAAACTTCATGATGTTTGCTTTAATCACCTCCAATTTAGTCTTTAAAAAATTGAAACTAAAGCCATATGGACCTAGTGCTTTGGTGCTGTCACAGTTCCATATTATGGCTTTAACTTCTTCATTGGAAAAGTCAAGGATAAGAGTATCTTGGCATTCCACTATATTTTATTAGGTGAACTAAGGGTGTGTGATGGTGTGTGCCAGTTTAGAGGTTTAGAGGGTGCACATATCATTTCCTATATATATATATATATAATTTCACGATTAAAAAAATTAAATTAACCAAAATGATGTGGTTATAATATCATTTAAAATTATAAACTTACAATCATGAAGTGTCATTGTATGATTGACTTTTTTATTTAGGAAAAATAACTAGTACACCCTTCGATCAATTTAACATAGCTTTTGATACCCACTTGGTTCAACTATTAAAATATAATATAAGTATAGTTGAATTCTACATTTTGTATGCATAGCTCATATTTTTAAATTTATCTACCTTTAATTTCAATAAAAAAAATAATCATTTTCTAATAAGTATGTTATGCAGTGTGTTAAACTATCAAATGTATCAATTAATATCCTTCACCTTTACATATATCACTGTACAAAATATTAATCATTAATCTCTTCACAATGAATAGTTGAGATATATAAACTTTTTATCCTATTTTTAAAAATAATTGTCTTTTTTAATTTAAAAAGCCATGAAAAATTTTAGTGATTCATAATAGTACAAAAATGAATTATCAAAATTTTATATAAATAAAATGTATATAAAAATTATGTGTAAGTGTATAGCAATGAAATGTGATTATTTGATTCGTAAGTGTTTGACCATCTTAAAACATGCTTTTAACACTATTTTTAATTAAGATTTTTATTAATAACAGTAGAGGAAAAAATGTGGGATATTATATAAGAAGGATAATGATGTGTGCACACCAACGTGTGGGATCCGAGTGTGCACACACCATATAAACAAAAAAAGAAAAACTCATCACCCAGGTGTAAGATCCAGGTGTGCATCAATCAGTGTCCTATATAAAAAACAAAGAATAAAAAGTAAAGAATATGAAACGGAGGGAGTGGAGCGGACGAGACAAACCGCCCAACATCCAACTAATTAAAACCACTACAATGCAATTGGAAGATTTCCTATTACAAAACACTACAATTAATATAGGATTTTTTTATACTATACTCTTAAGTACAAGATAAAAATGTAATAAATATATTTTTTTATAATTAATTTTTATTAAGAAATATAAATGTTAACTTTGATTTCATCAATTAAAATCATTCACGTATAAGTAATGTTAAAATATATATTAACTTTTATCATTTTTAATGTAAATTAATTATAAAAAATACATTTATCATGTTAGATAAACCCATTAATATAAAATAGCTAAGAGAGGTGATCTATACGAGAAAAGAAAGAGTTATTGATGATCATAATAGCACATATTAAAAAAATAATTATAATATTTTTTAATATTAATAAATATTAAAAATACAAAAGTTATTATTAATTTCACTATCTAGGTTATATTATATACTACAATGAAGAAGAGAAGCTTCTCTTGAATGGTGTATAAGGCATGAATTAAAAGAGAAATTATTAATGAGGAAGAAAAATACTCCTACGTCCGAATAATTAATTTAAAAGGGTTAGATAATTAAAGAGACAAGAATACTTATAAACTAATATTTTTTGGTTTAACACATTTATTAATAAATTATTATTTTTAAATTTAACTTAAAGATGAAAAAATTAATTTAAAAATATAAATTTTAATAACTAAATTAATAAGTTTTCATAATTGTTTTAAATTAAAAAATATACTAATTATTTTTTTAATTATAAGATCAATATGATGTGTATGAACAGAGATGTTTAAACATCAAAACAACCTACTGTTGATTGATTACATCATTAGCTACCTAGCTAGAGCTCCTGGGAATTCGTTCAGGCAAAAGTTGTGTGAAAGGATAACCAAATAAGCATCCCCAAATAAGTATTGAATTAAGTGCCTTGTCGGCTTTACAAAAAGTAGTCCAGAATATGTAACGATAGCTAGTGCAAGTGGGTATAAATTAGGAAAATATTGTTTGAATCATTTTAAAGTTGAAAATATTGTTTGAATCATTTTAAAGTTAAAAATATCGCGTCTGACTAATAATATACCACAGCCATAACGATCGAGTCAGTAAAATTTTGCTACATCTCAGGTCAGGTGATCTCATGGTAAGAGATATATACCAACCTCTATTATTATTATTATTATTATTATTTTAAACAGTGTGAAATCTTTTTTTTGAAAAAGGAGAATGGGGGACTTGGGATTTGATCCCAAATTCTATTAATCCTACGCACATCCCTTACAGGGGTGGCCATTAGGCCACCGAGTGCGAGACTACCAACCTCTATTATTGATTAAAGTTTTAGTTGAAACTTTAATTTTTTTTTTAAAGAATCAGAATTAATATATATATGACAATGATTGATACTTTTTTTAATTTAACACATTTAATAACATTTATCGATTAAATTATTAAAAAATTAATATTTTTAAATTTAAATTTAA